GTGTCATGTACGCCTTGACCATGACGGTGGACTGCCAGCAGCTATGACCATCGATTGAGATACTTTCCTGCGATATCAGACGTTTCCCATAACATACTCACTTTCATACTTTCATCCTCTATCTTGACGCGATCGTGCTACTAAACTGGATCAAATTATATCCAACACTGTAACTGGTAAATACAAACGGGTTGTGAAACTTCACGTTTGCAGTTTGAACAGGTTATATCCATAATATATATGGTAAGTTATATCCATTTGTATTTCAAAAGCTAAACTTGTAATAAACAAACACTAGAAATATGTTTTTTTGGAAGTAGCAACAAAATATATAGAGCAGGCCCATAATTATAAAATCCCTCTCTATAAAGTGCAAGAAGCATTTCATGTAACAATTGAGGAAACAGCGTTTATAGGGTATTTCGACCCTGCTGAGTCGAAATCTGCCTGTTGCCAAAGCGAAATTTGAACCGGAAGTGCGGTATCCAAGATGGCGGCCAAAACTCTGTTTTCCCTATATCTCCCTTGTTAGTTGGCCTAAAATAATGGTTTAAACTTGTATATAGGGGTTTTTCAGATGCCAAATACATTACAACACTCAAAATTTACTTAAATTAAGTTTTGAGGGCATATCTTCCAAAATGGCACCCAAGATGGCCACCGAAAACTCTAATTTTCGCATATCTCCCTTGTTTTTTGGCTTAAAATAATTGTTTGGACATCTGCATAGGGGTTTTCTCGGATGCCAAACACATTGCAACACCCAAAATTTACTTACATTAAGTCTTGGTGGCATATTCCAAGATGGCACCCGAGATGGCCGCCAAAAACTCTTATTTTCGTATATATATATATCCCTGTTTGTTTGTTTAAATTAATTATTTTAACGTCTAGAAAGGTATTTTCTCGTATGTTAATCGCATTGCAACACTCATTATTTACTTCCTTTGAGTTTAGGGGACGTATGTTTCCATGATGGCAATAAAAACTTTGTTGTGCTTACGTGAGCTCCGTGCTTATTATTGTATTTAGTGAAACAAGTCAGATATCTATTAGTGGCTGAATATGTGCTACTATTTTTGAAATGTGAATTTAAATTTTGCATTTAATGTTAAAGGAGAAGGCAAGTTGTTTTGTACTCTGGTGGCACCATAGATAACGTGTAGTCCAACAGAATATATAAAAATTATATTTTAGACCATACTAAAAATCCGAAAGAGGTGGTGCATGTAAATTAAACTAAACAAAGGTACTTTAAAACATATTAATAAATAATAATAAACAATTTGGTTGTAATATGATATGGTTATACGGTTATAATATGCATACAAATGTTTACTTTTCCTACAGTTACCAAACAATGTACATGTTCTCTCACTGATTTGAGAAAGCAAAGTGGACAATTCGCTCATCAGTCTAATTACTTTGTCTCACTCCAGATTTGCAACGTGAAGGAATGAAAGTGGCCAATTCGCTCATCAGTGAGACAATGTTAACATTGCTCACTAGTTGTACAAATAACTATTCTTTTCATAAACAAACTTTTATAGACGGTTGGAAAACAAAAGATGTTACCTTATTAACAATTATTTTGTACACATGTATACAATTTCCAGTTCAAGCCTCTCTAAATTTACAGCAAAATCTGAACATAAATTACTGATTGGTTTAAAACATAGAGATTCAAAATTAATGAAACTAAATCCGTCCACATGTATTTTACTCTAAATATAAATTTTTGTCTTCCTGTCACAATAAGCAACACCTAGCTTCCTGAAGTAACTGAGGTTAAATACTTAGGTAAGGTATCCATTTAGATAGGAAATTAACATGGAAAACACAAATTTGGAGAAAACGGCAACAGCCTACAATATGTTGAACAATAAGTAAATTCCATGCAATACAACAAAGTAACTTTTGAGCATTAAAAATAGCTGTTAAGCACTGTCAGCAACAATATTTTCCGATAAAACACTTTTCAAAATTCTGAAGGGCAGGTCCAGAATTGATGGCATGTAAACCGTATCCTTGTTGTTTAGTAAGTTCAATGCTAAATGATTTTTATGACATTCTAATTTCGAAATATATCTTTCACTTAAGTTAACGATTTCGTCCTTAACTGTAGGGATCTTAAGGTCTTCATGTAGCGTTCTATTGGTGACATACCAAGGTGCATTAGTTATCTGTCTCAGCATTTTTGATTGGTATCTTTGTATAATTTCGATATTTGAAGTACTCGCCGAGCCCCAAAGTTGCACTCCGTATGTCCATATTGGTTTCAATAACGTTTTATACAACAATAATTTATTTTCTAGGCTTAGTTTTGATTTTCTTCCGAAGAGCCAATTTAACTGATTAAATTTTAAATGTAGTTGTTGCCGTTTTCTCCAAATGTGTGTTTTCCATGTTAATTTCCTATCTAAATGGATACCTAAGTATTTAAATTCAGTTACTTCAGGAAGTTGGGTGTTGTTTATTGTGACAGGAGGACAAGAATTTCGATTTAGAGTAAAAAGAATGTGGACAGATTTAGTTTTTGTTAATTTTGAATCTCCATGTGTTAAACCAATCAGAAATTATGTTCAGATGTTGCTGTAAATTTAAAAAAGCTTGAACTGGAAATTGTATACATACATACAAAAATAACTGTTAATAAGGTAACATCTTTTGTTTTCCAACCGTCTATAAAAGTTTGTTTATGAAGAGAAAGTAAACATTTTTATGCATTGCTACGAAATAATTATTTGAGGTAAGTACAATTTGCAATCCTAGGTTTATTCAAACTTAGAGCAATAGGAAGAATTTGAACCATTCGTTAAATAATCACGGCAAACGCTACTCGTTACGTTTTCTTAATTATTAAATGTGAAAATAACGTATTGCGTTTACTGTTTAACAGTTAACAGTGCAATATCATTATTAATTTTATAACCAAATTGTTTATTATTATTTATTAATATGTTTTAAAGTACCTTTGTTTAATTTAAATTACATGCACCACCTCTTTCGGATTTTTAGTATGGTCTAAAATATAATTTTTATATATTCTGTTGGACTACGCGTTATCTATGGTGCCACCAGAGTACAAAACAACTTGCCTTCTCCTTTAACATTAAATGCAAAATTTCAATTGACACTTCAAAAATAGTACAACATATTCAGCCACTAATATATATCTGACTGGTTTCACTAAATACAATACGCACGGAGCTCACGTAAGCACAACAAAGTTTTTATTGCCATCTTGGAAACATATGTCCTCAAAGCTCAAAGGAAGTAAATAATGAGTGTTGCAATGCGATTAACATACGAGAAAATACCTGTCTAGACTTAAAAATAATTCATTTAAACAAACAAACAGGGATATATATATATACGGAAATAAGAGTTTTTGGCGGCCATCTTGGGCGCCATTTTGGAAGATATGCCCTCAAAACTTAATTTAAGTAAATTTTGAGTGTTGTAATGTATTTGGCATCTGAAAACTCCCTATATACAAGTTTAAACCATTATTTTAGGCCAACTAACAAGGGAGATATAGGGAAAACAGAGTTTTGGCCGCCATCTTGGATACCGCACTTCCGGTTCAAATTTCGCTTTGGCAACAGGCAGATTCGTACTCAGCAGAGTCGAAATACCCTAAAAACGCTGTTTCCTCAATTGTTACATGAAATGCTTCTTGCATTGCTTTTTTTTTAAAACGGGCCTAGTCTAATAAAACATCGAGTAGCAATCAAACACTAAACACTATAACCGAAACCACCCCGGTGTGAAAACCAAGTAAATCTACTTTAAGTTTCCCTTAATAATAATACAACACTTCTTATTTTTGTATCGATAAAACAAGAGGTAGCCTACCGTAGTTTTTGTAATGACCGACTAAATGCCAATAATTCCACGGTATATATAATCTTAGCAGAAGATCTCCTAAAGTTTTTGTAAATTTCCATAAGATTAGATACCTCAGTATTGAAAACAAAATAAAACAATACGCATCATACGTAGCCTACTGGGTACTGACTACTCGCTCGACTTAACCAAACCCGAGTAACCAAGAAATGCAGCCTAGACAGCTTAGGCATATAAGATATTAGATGTTAGTTGAACAATAATCAGTTTAACAAAAAACTAACTAAAGTTAACGGATAATAAACATACACTAGAATTATGTTGTGATAAAAAAAAACTAGACATTATTTTGCCAAACATAGTCGGGCACCTGTTACGAGTACTCTCCTTAAAATCAATATTTGTTGCATTTACGGTAAAGAGAGTTTCATGGAAGTGCAAATCTTCTGCAAAGATCCGATGTGGGAGCACTATCCCCTCATCTTAACAAAAATAGTTGTAACAAAAAATACGTAAAATAAGTGTTTCTTTAATTTTCAGCGCATGTTACAGCAATAGTACTGTCCGGGGCACACAACGGGACCGACTATCTAGATGTACTCGATATGCCTGACCTATCACACATGTTCGGAGAGATTCGGAAGAGTGAAAACGAAAACCATCATGTTTGATCTTCATCGAAATTCGGCAACAAATTATCCTCTCTCTTATCTGTATTTTCAGTCAAACAGTAACTGGTAAATATGTAAAATCATAGACAAAAAGAATTAAATCGTTCTAAATGCCAAACCAATACCAACCAACCCAAGTATTTATAGCGAATATGGATTATAGGATATAAAGTTGGAGCTGTGGCCAATTTTTGGGGGTCAGTCACAAATTGGCTACTGTAAATATTACTCTTCCCTCTTAGTTTTTGATACAATGATAGTTTATGAAATATGTTAAAGTCAATGTGTGCTGAGTTGGTCTTTCAGTTTAGCTGGGTCAATGAATTGTGTATACAAATAGGCAAGTGTGTGATTTAACTGTATGCATGCATTGTTTATTTAAACGGTTTCCACAATTCATTCAAAATCTACATTAAGAATATAGAATGGTTTGGGTTTATTTCTGCTACATTACTATATAGTTTTTTTTTTTTGTTACAGGGTTTTAATAAACGCCAACATGAGACCTTCCAGGCCCATTCTGTGGGCCACTCTTTTCTTCTGTAAGTAATATTTAATTTATTTTTTACTCTAGGGTTTTGCTATGTTTTAGGGGGGTTTTCAACAAGAATTCATGGACTATAATGGATTATAACCTTGGTTGTTTCATGTCCACAAAAACTGTAATTCTTTATACTGGTAAGCTAAATTATAAACACAATATTAATTCTAACAAAGGAAACATGGGCTACTTCTCTCCATGGTCAAATATTGTACATATACCTCGAAGATTTGGTTCAATCGGCTATTTTGTAAAGAAATATTGACAAGATGTTGGACTACGTACGGGAATCAAGTAGTCGATTAAAACTGAATATAATTCAAAACAGCTAGTTTACACGCATAAAGACAAATTCTGGCAATTTTAATAAGGAAAATCATCTTGTAAACACACTTATTAGTTGGGTGTTTGCAGAAAAGTGGAAGAGGAAAAATGTGTTTGAAATGGCCTAAATAAAAAGAAAAAATGCCATTTACTTAAGGTAAATGAGGTTTTTACAACCGCCTTAAATCGCCGATTTCTAGCATTTTTCTTAATTTTCAAACGCGATTTTCAGGGTGAAATTGGGATCCCCCCCTTCCCCCCCAAAAAGCCAAAGGTAAAAAGTGCTTAAAATAGTCTAATTTTGTTGGATAAGGCAAAAAATCAATATAACATAAGTAGGTAGTATAAGTTCAATATTACCAAATGTTGATCCCAGTCTGGAGAAGTCTTTCATTGCTAGGTCCTCCAAGTGGTCGTCTTAATTGTGGTACTCCTTGGAATACATTTTTTATAGTTTATGTGTCTTCTCTCCTCCACGCATATCCTGTCCATCCGAGCCTTTTTCTTCTAGTAGGCACCCAGGGTGTTGAAACATTCCTCTTAGCTCTCTGTTCCTCTACTGCACCAGTTGACATTTGCATTACCAACCAAAAATAAATATATCAATTTCACTGCATTAATTGTCAAATAAATAAGTAAACAAAGAAAAGAAAATAAACGGTATCAGCATTCTGACACATACTTTCTCCCATAAGTTTGTCAAAAACCTTTATCATATGTAAGTGGTGAGAGTAAATATACGCAAATGGGATTTGTACAATTTTGTTCACAATTTAAAGGACTATAACATGCTAAATTTTTATCAAAATCGTTGGGCCATTTTTTGGAAAATCCGATTTTTCTGTTATTTTATGGGGGTTTTATGGAGAAATGACATAACTTACAATAACTTTTGAACCGTAGTTTTTACAGAAATGGGATTTGTACCATTTTGTTCAGAATATAAAGGACTATAACATACTAATTTTTTATCAAAATCGTTTGAGCCATTTTTGGGAAAATCATATTTTTCCGTTATTTTATGAGGTTTTATGGGAAAATCCCCATTAAAAATAAAAATTTCTAAAAAATTAAAAAAAACTATCAAAACTGTAAATACATAAATACATACTATGTTAAATCAAAACCGGATTTTTTTCAAAAATCCTATTTTTCGTTATTTTATGGGGTTTTTATGGGAAAATAACATATTTGACCATAACTTTTGAACCGTAATTTTTACAGATATGGGATTTGTACCATTTTATTCCGAATTTAAAGGGCTACAACATACTAAATTTTTATTAAAATCGTTCGGGCCATTTTCGAGAAAATCCGATTTTTCCGGTTTTTTATGGGTTTTTATGGGAAAATCCCCATTAAAAATAAAAATTTCAAAAAAATGAAAAAAACGCCTGGAGATACCATGGATTAGAACCTACATACCAAATTTCATCGAAATCGGACCACAGGTGTGGTCTCTAGCTCTGTACACATCTAGACACACAGACACACACACACACACACACACACACAGACATCACTTCGAAAACCACTTTTTTGGGTCCAGGGGGACCCAAAACGAATATATCCACTCAAAACTCAAACTCGAAAAGTTTGACGAAAACAATACTTTCTCCATATACTATGGTATAGGGGGAGAAAGTAAAAACAATAACAGATAGTTTGTTTGGAAACAGCTGTTTAGTTAAATAATATTCATATGAAAAGAAAACTTGCCACCTGTGGAATGAATTTAAATAAAAATGTAAAACACGCTAGTAAGCTGGTGACGTAGTTTTTCTATTTTTTTACCATCCATACCATTATCCGTTCGAATATCCGTGATAATTACTCACTCTCGTTGAATCTATGTACATTCTAATTTCCCATACTCATTTATTCACACTATAAAATATTTCAAAAAGTAATATTTTGCCTACATCAGCGCACCCAAACGTAACCACATATGAACACCACCAAACAACATAACGTCAATGATAACATTGTGTTTAATCTATGTCATCCATCTGGATATCTTTATAAAACCCGTCAGAGGTTGTTGTAGTAGGGCCTAGTAATTTAAAATCGTAATTCCTGATCATCCTTGATCTCGTTGTTTTATCAAATCAAATCAAATCAAATCAAAATGCCTTTATTCTTGAGCGCTTCTCAATACAATATTGGTTTACAGAATAACTCACGTCACTAAAACTAAACATTTAAAAGTCAAATATCTAAACAAATTATGTACAAGAATAAAAAATCAACAAAAAATTACATGCCTGCTTTACAATGTATTTTAACCTTTTTTTTGAAAGCCAAGGCCGAAAGGCTTTTGATCTGATAGGGGAGGTCATTGTAAAGGGTTGGGCCAAAATAGGAGAACCCCCTCCTACCTATTTCCAAATTAACTTTTGGAAAGTGGAGGAGGGTGTCCTGCCTAGTGCCCCGTCGAGCAATTGCTCCACGTGTCACAAGTCTCTCCACCAGGTATTTTGGTTCTCTGTGAGATAATACCCGATGGATGAGACAACAAGTTTGCACTCTGCATACAGCATCGGCTGGCAACAGACCAGCAGAATCCCGGAAAGAGGATATGTGTTGAGCTTATGAAGTCCGTAGACAAAACGAACTTATAACATCAATATTTCCCTGCCTAATCCAAACAAAGTTTAAGCAGTCAAAAATTTATTGTAAACAAAAAGCTCCCAAGAAGAATATAACATGTATACATTGTTATTTTCCTAATCTTTCCTCAAAAAGTAGATCAGTACAATAATTTTCATCTTTGAAGACTCGTGGGCAGAGCTTCGATTTGTATACAACAATGGTCTTACTTATTTCTGTGGTCTACTTATCTCTACTAATCTTACTTATTTTATATAATCAATGACGAAATCATAGACTAAATGAAATAACCTCACAGTTATATAGAATATTTTGCTATCCATCGAGTTGTTAGTTCAAACAAATTATATTTCACTAAAACAAACCCAAGATTTTAAAGATTGCCCTAAAAAATAAATTAGAACATCTAGTATTTTACTATGTATATTTGAATTATAAGTCATCCTCTTACTGAATAAATGAACGTATCAATGTTTATAGCATTGCACATAGTATAAATAAGTCCGCATACCCTACGCATACGATGGCAATTTCATATTTAATACAATGACAACATTTTCACAATTATTTAGAAACCATCACATTTAGAAGCTCACGTAATCATATTTCAGCATCTTCACTTACAAATTCAATTCATGAGGTTACCCATTGTTTCCCGAGTTACAATTCCACCCCATGACAATTGACATTATCGACGATTAGGTTTCCCAGGATAGCGAACTATTCATATGCACGATCTGCATACGCCTAACAATGCTGGTGCGAATTATTCAACTAGTCTGGAGGAAGATGGGGAATGTCATGGCTCTTCCGCGTCGTCGCACGCTCTGGCCCGAGGGTGAACTCTTGGCGAGAGCGAGGGTCACCAGGGAAGTCACCTGACCTTCGCCCCAGGTCTACCGGAGAATCGCGTAACACGTTGTAACACGCCTCTAGGAGTCTCGGCTAGATACCTGAGGACACCACGAATTGATTTGACTTTCTATCAATTATGTTTACAAGTTGTGGTGATCGGTGAAACGATCCAGCTGATAGTTGATGAATGTACAGCAAGCTGATGGATATGAAGAGGTCATGGGCGTTCAGAGGAGTAACCGTGTGCTTAGCTGGTTAGCTGTACTTGGTCAGCAGACTTTTAAATGGTCTTGGTCAATGAACCATTTGATTTCAGTCAGTACCATAATCCATTTATACACTCATTCTAACACACCTCGGAGTCTCGAAAAGATTCAACCCAAATTAGTCCCCCCAAATTGGATTTATTTGTATTTACTTGGATTTACTTTCTATTAATTATGTTTACAAGTTGAGGGTTATAGGTGAAATTAACCCGTTTGTGAATTTGCACTGTACAGCAGCAGAATGGGTTTAGGATTGGTATAAACGCAGTAAACCAGCGGCCATTGATTATACCTTAATGATTGGTCATGATGAAGAACTAGCTTATCTTAGTCAGTAACAGAGCTGTCTCATCAGTTCAAAACTCATACTTCTAACACATTCTCTTTTACACTCCTTTTCAAAATCCTGTTTTACAAATTCTCGAAAATACCATTATCTTTACATTTACTTGTAATAACAATCGTTTAATGAATATAATCAGTGTTTCTTTTCCGAATCATGCTCCCTAGTTTGATGTATGTTCCCACTAATTCGTATTAAAGATCAATTCCTAAGACACATACAAAATAAATCAGTATTATCAGTATGTTTTATCTATGGTATTATACAAGTAAAATCATTTTAACAAGCCTTCAGGAATGTAGGCTACGACTATAGCAAAAATTCAACTTTCTCCTAACTTAAACATGTGTCATAATGCGCATATTAAGATCTAACATCAGAGCCAAATGTCATGGGATCTGTTACTTAGCATTCTAGTACAACTTAATAGAGAGGAAATAAAGTTAACAGTTTAGTGGAATTCCTCAGTTGAGCAACTGAGCTCGCAGTAAACGTGTAATGATGTCAATTTTGAGTGTTTTGAGATAATGGTCGCCTAGAACCTTGCCAGTAGCAGACAGACGGACACGATCAGCAACTTTCTCTGGTAATTACAAATATCTT